ATTAAAATTGATGCAAGGACCAGATCAGAATGAACTTGTAAATTTTTGGTTAGAGCCATGCGAAATTAAATAAATTGCCAAATATCTACAAGATCAGGTTTTAAATAAATACTCAAGTCCACTTTTGAATTAATATTATAAATAAACATCATCAAAGAATATTAATATCACTTAGTTTGAGAACAACATTTTTCCTCCTAATCACAATTAGATTTGATAAGGTGATAGTAAACTGTTGAGGCGCCAGCTATGGCAGTAAACGTTATAGTAACTCTCACCATTAGCGAATTTAGTTTGGGGGGGCGCTTCGTCCGAAAGAGATTTCTTTTTAAATATATAACGGTAATTACATTATTTTATAGTAACATTTAATGCCATTTGCTCCTGCGTTGCAGCGCGCAGCGCGCCTGATGTATTAGACATTAGCGAGTTTGCTTCATTAGTTTTTTTATTGTTATTAATGTAGTAGTAGGTCCTTTATTTATGGAGAAAAAGAAAGAAACTAACAACTACCTATATGAAATATGAGTTTAATTAATTCTTTATTTACTATTAAATATAATTACACGAACAACAATAAGTTTAGAGGTAATTTTTTTCATGGTTATATTTTGCCATTTTGGGGGGGAGGCTTAAGCCCAAAAATTACTCCCCTCCCCCGCCCGTGACTCTCACTGACGTCAAATTTCTTTTTTCTGGGAATTTGTCTATTTATTATTATTAATTTTAAGGTAATTACAAATTTATTGTAACAACGAAATTCAAACATGTAATGTAACAAGCACAATATTTTAACTCCAAAAATTTTTTTAGCCTTGCATCCACAAGATTATTGGGATTGTAGTTCCGAAGATGGGAGTAAATATCCCGAAACGTCAACTAACTTGTTAACATGTAACGTTGATAATAGAAATATACTCAATTGTTACCAATTGGAAGTTATTATTGCCAAATAACTAAAAATAAAAAAGTCAAATTTTATATACCTACCATAGAAATTGAGTAATGAAAGCTAAGATTCAATTCTATGCCATAATACGGTTTTTAAAATTGAAATTTCTTTAGTAAGTAATAGAGGAATATACATGAAAATAAAAATCAAATATGAATTTCTTTTATTAAGTTATTACATAATTTATTAAGTAATTATACATGAAAATAAAAATCAAATATGAATTTCTTTTATTTTATTCATTTTTTTTTTTTTTTTTTTTATTTACTTCTTAGAACTTCTAACTAAAATTTATTTTGAAATACAAACTTATAATGAAATTGGTTTCGGAAAAAAATTTGTGATTCCAAATTAAGCGAAAACTTTCGAAAATAAAAGTTCTTGTTATACCAAAACCGTTAAAAAAAAAAAAATTATTAAATCATTTTTACTGATGATTAGAACCATGATTAAAACATTTTTTGGATATTTTCGACTCAACCTGGTTCTTGCATCAATGGAATTAATTAATAAATAAATAAATTAATTAATTATTTTCCATACCATCGCAAACGCTCGCCTCGCTCCCGCACCTCCTCTTTGCCATATACGAACCTATGATGATGCCGCACGAAAACAAAAATCAAGCACAACAAACCACCTACAGTTGAGGAAGCTCTATGTCCTTGCTGGCACCACCACGCTTTACTAGGTCAGTTGACGACTGTATAACCCTCCAACACGGCTAGAGAGCGACTGAGGGATTTATCCAGAAAGATTTGCCTATAAACAAACTATATCCTTATCGGTAAAGGTAATAATTCGTCAATTCCAATTGTTTTTATTAGTAGGAATAAGTATTTACCGCTCGATTTCATATCAGTGTCCCGGAGGTAAAGAAGTCAGTAAAATATTTTATTTGTCATAGTGAGATGAAATTACGGTTTTGTAGACGGAAATTACACTGGATTTATATTAATTATTTATAGTTAGATGATAACTGAAAGTAACTTATATGGCAATTGGATATTAGATATTATATTATTAGATATTAGATATTATGGAAACTAGAAAGACTAATGGTTAAAAACTGAGATGAATTAGAATTACAATTAACTGAGAATAAGTGCCGACTTTTATTATACGACTGCTTTGATGTCATTCATGAACTTTATCTAGTCACGGGCGTTATCTTTGTTCATCGACCGAAGAAAGTTAGCTCCATCATCCGTAGTTTGCGATCCTAAACTAATTCTTCTTCTCTTCTCGAATCTTTTACACTTGAAGGCAATGTGTCTTGGATCCTCCAAGCATTGGCATGTTGGGAAATGGCCGTTCTTAGCTAGACCCATTAGATGAAGATATTTATTTGTTATACCCTGGTTTATCCTAAGCCTGGTCAGCTTTACTAAGCTGGAGCGGTCGAGATGAGATTTAAGGGTCGCAAACCATGGAACCAGTGCTATCTTCTGTTGAACTGCATGATGGTCCTTACCCTTCGAGGCACATTCTCAGTCGTAGAAATGCTACCAGTCTTTCATTATTTTCCTCCTCACTACTCTTATCAAATCCAATAAAGGGACCTTCACGTTTATTCGATGTAGTTGGTTTTGATTTGCCGTTTTGTCAAATACTTTCATTTACCTATATATGTATATATAGTATGGAAAAGTATTGCGTTCGGGAAAATTTTAGAATCTGAATTTTTAACGAAAATACACGTTTTGAGGTTCGCTGATTCCAAATAACCAGGTCCAGCAAAATGGTCTGCATGTGTGTATGCGAACAGTCTAGCTCAAAAACAAAGGGAAATCGCCCGATGTTTCTCCATATCCTGTTTATTGTCTCTTTTGTGGAGTAGAATTATGTTTGCTGTTTTCCAGTGTTCTGGAATTTCTTCCTTTTCAGCAATTAAGTTAAATAGTTCTGTAACTTCCCTAATGAGAACTTCTCCTGTTTTTAAAATTTTGTTCGTAATATCCGGCCCAGGACTTTTTTCATGTTTCAAGTTTTTAATATGTAAAAACTTGAAAAAATATATAATGTAAGTAATCTAAAATAAATATTTCTTATATTAGGCATAATGGTTCGATTGTTTCTATGGTATAATGTTTTAAAAACAATTAATCATCCACAAGACAAACACAGAAATTATATTTCCAAATTTATATTAAAAAATAAATGAATTGAAACTTATGCAAATGGAAAAAAACTGTAATGGCATTGGAATTGTGCATCAAAAACTTACAAAAAAATTATTGAAAAGAAAGCTACATACCAATTATGTCGTCTATATCTGAATGCCACTTACCTGGAAAAAAAAAAACCAGACAAATTTAAATACACTGCTTACAAACTTCAATACATTTTGCAATTAATTTAAAAAATATGTTAATGCAATTTTATCAGTGACCTATACAGCTTGTAAATTAGTTCACATTTTATTTCAATAATGTAACCCATTTGAATTGAATTTTAGGAATTGTTGTTAGGACTCACTATGACTTCAACCCTCCGATATGTAGTTTATTTTTAAAAACAGCAGCTTTTGTAGTTATTAAACGAAAAACCGGAGAGCGTGTGAATTATTCCTATTTAACTATTCTATAAATATTAACTAACCCAGGCAGGAATCAAATCCACACTACTCTCCAGAAACTAAATTTGGTCCTAAAATAATTTGTATATATTAGATCGAAAAGGAAGTACTGCAATTAATGCAGTTAATGATCAATGTGCCCAAACTGGTTGAAATTAAAATTTTCCTATGCTTAATAATAATTATTATTATTTTTATATTATTACATATTAGTCAGGAAGTTCAAAAATATTCAATAATTATGAAAATATATAAATGTAATTTTTGGCTGACCTAATAGGTCCTCAACTATTACATATTATAAACACCATTGTATATGTGGAAAATAAAGAGATACTTAATTTATTCTGGGACAAGTCCCTTTATAATAATAAACAAGAACATAAATGTGGGGTTTTGAGGTTCAGAGATTTTATAATAATTTGATATTTCGAAAATAGAAATTTCATTCACTGGAAAATATTTTTCTATTTCTTGTATTTTTCATTGACTTTAAGATAAGAACTCGTCCAACCAATATAACAAAATATAACATTTTTTTTAAAATATATTTAACTTAATAGCTTTTAAAACAACCGAAGCAGGGATCCCTCCTTTACCCAAACAATATCAGCTGCTCGATGATATAAGGATTGCAGATAATGATAACATTGTTTACCGGAGCTACCGGAGTAAATAATTAACCGAGTCAAGGCCGCTTAAGAAAAGTGGACTGTTTCAATTTACGAATCCCCGTAGATCGTAGATCCACAGAGATAACACAAGTTACATCAAACGCAATGATAATTTACCAGTCAAGGCTACATGGAAAAGTTTTTCTTTCAATTTCCAAAGTAAAGTTTCGAGACAATATGGACCGCATTGTAGTAATAAATGCTGCAATGTACAATTGTAAATAAACATTATGAGCAGTTTACTACGAAAAAAACTGGCATATCATCGATAGTTTTCATAACAGGATTTTGTCAAACAATCGGTAATTTTTCGTTAATTTCAATCAAACAATCACAAATTATGTTGGTGTAATACTTAATTTTGGTTTATTTTCAATAATCAACCATTGTGATCGACCAAAAAATTCCAAAACTTAACCCCCTCTCAACCTATGAGGTTTCACGTTTCAGGATGCGTAGAATTCGAAAAACGAATACAAATTTTTTTTGTCCGTCCGCCGTCCGCGCATTTTCTCCGAAACTACTGGACCGAGGTCACCCGAGGATAATCTTCCTTCATCGACATTACTATCCGCCTTTTTTTAATGTGATTTGGGTAAAAATTAATAAATATTACAACATATGTTTGATTGTTAACTAAACCTCTCTGGCTAAAAAACATTCCGTAAACTTGACTATTTCATTACAAAGTACACTTTAAAGCCAATCTTCCAAACCGTTTCTATACCTCCAGAAGTATAGGCTCAAACACATCTTGTTGTACTGCTATTTACAAATGACAAACACTTTGTTACAGGTCCGCTGAGCCTGATCGAAGAATGGACGATACCGAAGGAACTCATCAGCCTCACTACGATAACGCTGCTCACGTTCTTCCACGACCTCTTCATAATCCTGGCCCTCAGGGCGGAAGAAGCCGGACTCGTCTCTTTGGTCCAGGCTACGGATATCGTCTTTTCCTACATCTGGGAGCTGACCTTCTTCGAGGAACCGTACACCTTCCTGAGGGTGTTTGGAGCGGGGCTGGTCATCTCGGCCGTCTGCCTAGCCGCCTTGGTCGAGAGGAGTCCTCCAGTCAGCCTCCTGGAGTGCAAGGAGTTACCGGTCTTCATCAAGCAAACCGACAGGAAACTCCGCTACGAGTTCGGCCTCCGAGCTGAGATGTTCAAGTGGTTACACCTGAGGGACAGGTAGTGCTCGTATCTGGGGGGAAGTTTCCTCCCAATTTATAATAAAGAGATAAGACTTCCAGGAAGTCGAGCGAAATGCTACCGGAAATAGGGAAGGCATTGTTACCAACTTAGCGTATCATTTAGGTAATACCAATTCGGTATACCTCTCCACTAGTCTGAGGTATTAATATCTGTGATATTTTTGTGCATATGTAAATAAAATTAAGATTTCTACCTCAGATTCAAAAGGATCGTCATTACATTATCGTAATGTCCACGGAGGAAATAGTATTTAACATCATAATGAATATATTACTTTGATACTCTAAAGTAAAAAAACACATTTAAGAAAATCCAACATTTCTTGTTAACAAAACAATAGAATTCTTGATACGTCCCTGAACATAAAAATCAAGGAAAATAAATAATAAATTTAATTTGTAGCTATATTATTGTTATATATTTTTTATGTCATCTTGTGTGATTTATTATTAGGTATCTTCTAAGCTAAATAGGTTTCATTCGAAACAATTTATATATTTTTTTATTTCATCTTACATGGTCTTCTTATATGTAAATAACTGAAGGTGTGTTTCTAGTAATATGAACTAGTTAATATTTTTTTAATGGCATAAGAGCATTTTTAAAAAGTAATATGTCTGATGACGGAATGTTATAATTCCAAGTTATACAGAAAAGAGATAAATATTACATACAACGAAAGAACCTTTATTTTCTATCTAAAAAAGAAAATTGTTAATTTTTGGTAGTTTGTTGTTTTATTAAACAATCCATTTATGTTTAAGCTAAATTTTATCATACACAGGAACCTCTTAACTATAAAACTAACGTTTGAAATTCAGAGAAAAGAGATATTGATTGAATATTAGTCATAAAGTATCAAAAGTTACCTAACTTAAATACAAATAACTTAGACAAAACATAACCAAAGTAGACATGCAAACTTGTTCAAATTTTAACCATTCCCCTATCTACTTAATACAATTATAAGTTTACAGACAATTTCATTAAATGCTATGTATAGACCGAAAATATCTATGATTATCTTCTTTCTCCACCCACTCTCTCTCTTTCTCTCTCTCTCTCTCTCTCTCTATATATATATATATATATATATATATATATATATATATATATATATATATATAAATGATGTATTTTAAACATTTTGATTAATTTAATTTAATATTTTATTTTAGAGTGCTACCATTGGTTAGTTACTCAGCAAGTGTTTTCATGTCATTATATCCATATGTTAAAATTTACTAGATGTATTTATTTAATACAGTTGTAAACATCATTAAGAAATTAAAATATATGTATATTTTGTGTAAGTACATACAAAATATTACACACAGCTTCAAAGACAAATGTATTTGTTATGTAATATATCCATTATAATGTACATAGTGTATATAAAAAAATATTAAGTTATATCTACGTGTTTCTAGTTGAGTAGTTATAATGAAACGTTCCTATAAAAGTTAATGTTTCTTTTCTTCTATCTCTATATGCTACTAACGCTTGTGTAATTTCCCATTAGTAACTGTCACATTTTACTTTTTCGTTTCTTTTTTTATTCCACCCAATTATTTTTAATGTTATATTTTCAAGTATTTATTCTGTTACTTACTAAATTATAAACTATTGAATAACTTTTCAGTAGTTTTTTTGTTTGTTTCTTGTTATTTGTCACTCTGATTTGTAATATGATAACTAACAAAAAGTTTTGCATTGTTAAGTTTTGAATGATTGTTATTTTGAAATACATTTCATATGTTAGATGTTATTTATATCAATCCTGCTCAATTATATTATTTTTTAAGATTTCGAGATGTTAAGTCCGTGTTACAGCCTCCTTTTCATAAAATTATTAATATCTGTCCAAACCTTCATGAATGGCTTCATATTACCTTACCTACAATATTTTTATCTACAAAAATTCTCACCAAAAAAATATAGATGAAGCCATTCACGAAGTTTTTGCCGGGTGTTTATAATTTGATAAAAAGAAGTCAGTACCGCGAGCTAATTTCGATGTTTCTCAAGGTTACTGAGAAATACTACTCCATTCTAGAGATAGCCATCGATAGTCGATACTGCTGAAATATCGATATTTTCCCTCCAATAATCGATATTTCAGAATCGATGGTACCCAATTCGATATTATAAGACATCGATATCGTTCCTTCTCTATTTTCATTTAAACATAAATATTAAATTATCTTCTTATTTTTATTATTTTTTTTTTATTAGGAAGCTTACGTTTATAATTTTTTCATATTTTAGGCAATAAAATTTCCAATTTTCTTCATATTTTTTTATTTATGCTTGTTGTCTCTTACGTTAATAAATATTAAAATTATCGTTTTCGGAAAGCGCTAGGAATTAGACATATTTTTTTTTTCATAATTCAAACTTTGGGGCTCTACAAAAACATCAAATTCTTCCCGTATCCAATCCTTACAATCCAAAATCCTAAATGTTCCTTATTATGTAACTAATAAAAGTATCCATAAAGACCTCAACATTCAACTTGTTGAAGACTTGGACCGAACTGGATATACCTCTTTTCATTCCAAACTCTTTGGTCACCCCAATCCTCTAGTTTATAACCTTTCATCCAACACAAATCCTGACAATCTTCCCAGGCCTCTGAAAAGAAATTAATTTATCTTTGAAGTGTTACCAATGGGTAGTTTCTTCACAAGTACATTCATGTTATATATTCATATAGCAGATTTACTGGTCGTATATATGTTTACAGCTGTAAATTTCAATAAAATAATTCAAACGTTTGTGATAGAAGGGCATTTATTACACTTCGTATCGACTGTCAACTTATACTCCTTAAATTTATTCAAACATATATTTTAAACTTATGGCATTTTTCCGATTCGCCGTCAGCTTAAATTAGATGATATTTCATGAGATCAAGTATTTTCTTTAAAATGGACTAAACATCGCTTTTACACGTTTCTACTTCATTTCCGCATTTTCGACACGTGTATAAAAGTGCTAACTCAGCGATATACTATCGCATAGTTGGCAGTTTAATAGATCCAGCCCAAGTAGTAAATAATGAGTAAATCGTTTATGCACCGGCCTTGTTATGCTTACTCTGTATTCTAGATAGTACGAGGAATTCTAACATGCACAATATGTTTATTGAATATCGTATAATACATCAGATCACAGGCGGATCAACGGGGAGGAGGAGAGGGGGGCTTTGGGGATGTGGCCCCCCCAAAATAGTAAAATATAACCATGTTTAATGAAAAACATTATCTCTAAAAGTATTATTTTTCGCCTAAGTACATTTTATAGGACTTGAAGAATCATTTAAACACCATTTCATATAGATTGTTTCTTTCTTTCTGTCTGCATCCTAATATATACATTAAAAAAAAAATCTTTCGGGCTGAAGCTTCCCTCTCCCAAAAATTAAATCCTGGATCCATCAGAGCATCAGATTTCACTAACATCTTTGATGATGACCCGTTTTCATCCGATTTTTATTCTATTTAGTTTATGTCGCAAAGCTTTTATTTCTCGTTTTTCCGCGATATGAGAAGTACTGTAATGAATGTAATTGCCTAAAAACACATTTTATTTATAAAAATAATAATTTTTCAAATATATTTCATGTAAGGTGCTTATGAAATTGTGTTTTTCTCCCAGATTTTTGACATAGAAATTGATGTTTATTTATAAGTGACACACAATAAAAATAAAATGGTAGATAAAATAAAAATAAAACGACTTTAGGATTGAATTGGCTCACAGATAAAGACCGTTTTATATATATATATATATATATATATATATATATATGTGTATAATGTATAAAGAAGAAGAATATACCTACCCAAATTGTAGATGTACTAGTTATTTCGACCAACCAAGTTATTTATTGGCTCCGTTTGAAACATTCTATCACTAGAGACTGTTCAGAAATAAACCAATTAAGAGTTGTCTAACAAGATGGAGGATAAAATATGTGATTAGCCAGTTAAACAACAGAGTGCTGACCGCATAACTGGGTACTTCCTCCACCCATCTGCCTGTTTGGAAAACACTCGGATGGTTTACTGGCTTCTCTAATTACCAAGTCATTGTCGCCAAACTTGGTTGGCAGGTACACGACACAAAGTTACTGGACACAAAGTAAATAGAATATAATATTCGTTCTTGTTCGAGCTGGTTAATCGAGTGGGTTTAAGGTTATTTAATTCAGGGGAGAAGGCTTCAGCTCGAAAGCATTTTTTTTATATATACAGGGTGTCCCGTATGTAGAGGGAAATATTTAAAAGTTTTACAGTAAACATCAAGATTTGCAAAAAAGTTCATCTAAATAATTGCCCAATATCCAGCAGAAAAACAGACAATTTAATATTTTTCTTTTTAACGAATTTTATGTTGAATAGAAAGCGATAAATTAAAAAGTATTTGATTTAAGTAATTAAACTATATGGTCGGTTTTATAAGGAAAATTATTGAGTTACTTTTTTTTCATAACCTTAAATTACTAAGAATTTGATTAATTTTCCTCTTGTTAAGTCAGAAAATTGTGCTCTTGTTGTAACTGTGATATATATATTTAATATATAAAAGGGTTTGTGTTATATTTGTATAGTTACTGTGTTTATCAATAAATAAGGTCAACATTCACAAAAATGTCCTTGTAAGTTCAACTCCGTTAAAAATGTAATCAATGGTTTTTTTTCGATAAACTGACGATATGAGCTGTTTTCTTTGAAATTGTAACTCCATTTTATAATGAATTTAGACATATATATAGGTTTGCAGATGAATGGTTTTAAAAATATTAATATTAAATTAGATATTATTTTATACAATATTAAATATAATTGTTTTTAAATATTAAATTGATTTATGTTTGTAATGTTATCTAATAAGAAAACATCGAAAGCTGATATTGGCAATTTTTCTTTCGATATCGCGATAATAAACAATCCTTTATTTTGATGTGATATTCAGCGACATTGATGGAAAAATATGATATTGCAACATCCCTAATGGTAGAAACGCTTAGTTCCTTTGCCGAAATTGCTACCTACGTTCTAGATCTTCACAGAGGCTAAAATAAGAAGATGCAAAAAAATTGTCAATTGGTGGTAAAAGATAAATTATCAGCAATGTAATAAATATACGGGAAATGAAAAATTAATTTAGTATATAGGTTAAAATGTAAACTAAGAGATAATAGCGTAGAAAGATACAAAATATAATTGACAATAGACATTAACTTTTTTAAAAGTTGTAATGGGAGTGATACCAAGATATTTCTATTATAATATTCTCCTATTATAGATTAATTTAAACTTAGAAAAGAACAGGCAGTTTTTTTTTTCTGTTATTTTCTACTAAAATTCTCGATTTTTATTGAGCAAAGATCTTGTTTATCATAAACCGTCTCCTTTCGGTAATATTCTCAAGGAAACAGGATATCCAATTTCCTAGCCTCGAACAATTTTCAAAATCGTTGCATCGGATATTGCATTTTGAACATCCGGTTCTGTACTGATACAATTGAATGAATATTGAACTGAAATTGGGCCATTACTTCATTATTTTGAACAGGCAAAGTTCCATGTTCTTTTTACAATACTATTCTTTCGTTGTTTTATATTATTTTATTTTTTTATGGGGAGGGACTTGCTTAGCATGTTTGCATGTTGTAATTATAAATATTATTAACTTTATAAATATTATTATTTTTACTAAGAGCATACGAATTGAAAATATGAATTTCGTGGGTTAAAAATATCGAGTTTATAATTCTGATATCGCTGTTTTTAATTATGTGATATAAACTCATAATTAATTCGTTACATTTGACATAAAATCTAGCCATAACATTGCTGCAGTAAAGACGATTACTTCTTAAACAAAAAATTATACATTTTAGTAGGATGAAATAAACGGTAATACTTAATAGCAAACATAACTGTAATAAACAAAAACATTGATTCTAACTTAAATAATTTTAATGAACTAGAATTAAAAATATGAATTATACTTTATTTCATTACCTTCTAAATTAGTTAACAATTTTGATTGATGAAGTTTTGACCGCTATCAAAACCTAGAATATTATTATTTTTTAATTATAATAAAAAATATTTATACTTCGGTAGTTATGTAGAGTAAAGAGGGCTGGCCAAATGCTGAAATGATTACACTATAGAAGGAATTCCGAACATTTCCGAGTTTGTACGAAAGCCGCAACCGCTTCTGTCGTCACT